GATTTTATTAATTACCTTGGGCATTTTAAAACCACTTTAGATCAGGTTTGAAACAATTACATTCAATTCAAGAAATAATGTAGTCTTAGCATATGGTAGTCACTGTGTTAAGCACTTTACAATCATTATATCATTTGATCCTCCCAACAACCCTGGAAGTTGGGTACCATTATTAGTTTTCTCTTTACAGATCAAGAAACTGGTGTAAATAGAGATAATATAACTTGTTTAAGATTACACAGCTAATAAATTTCTGCAGCTGGAACATAAAGTTTCCCTACATTTTTCTAGCATTTTTTTTTTTGCAACACCTGGATTTGGGGATCTGATCTGGGATGAGAGGTATTAACAGGGAGAGGGTCTCTTGACCTGGAGGAGTCACAGGAATCCCTTTGGTTTAAACAATCTTTTCTCTTTTCTTGATTAGAAAGTCAAGAGAGGGTTAACAAGAGATTGCTATAAGGTACAAACCATTTACCTATTTTTTTCCTTTCTTCACTCTAGGATTACTTCCAAACTAGCTGCCTTCCTTCATTGCCCTAGAGCAATGAAGCTATTACTCTTGCCATTTACTTTTAAAACTTTTATAAAATCTAATCCTTATTTTTCCTTAAAACACATTCTACAAAGTGGTACTCCAAAACTTACTAAAATATTTTAGAAGGGAGTGAGTTCCTGGAATTACCCCAAAGTCTCAGGAGTTCTGTCCTACGGTCTTAAAAATTATAAATCTCCAAACCTCCAAAATCTGCTAAGATGTTTTTAGCAGTTCCACGAACTTTGATTATCTCACTTTATTTCTGTAATTCCAACATAGCCAAAGCTGAAATGACGGGAAAAAAAGTGTCTTGCAGATGTTTTCTTTTTCTCTCTTCTTATAAGCTAATCTGTCACAGAAAACCTAAAGTGGAAGTTAGTCCTGCTTACCTGAGACAGTTGCTTCAACTATGAAAATTCATTAATCCTTCCCAGTGTTCTAAACTGTCTGGCTACAGCCCTTAGAAGTTTTTCTGGCTGACTGCATTTTAAATCTTTCAAGGTAATAGAATCTAGCTCACAACACAAAGACACACAGATATTTTATATTTTACAAACACACAAACACAGACAAAATGACAACAAAGATACAAACATGCATAGAATTCTAACAAAGCCCACAATTACAATTCTAATTTTAACCATTTTGACACAGTTACTGAGGCATGCAATTAAAAAAAACAGTCAGAGGTACACAGTTGTAATTTTACAGAGGCATGCAGTTTAAAAATAGCAGAGGCACGCAGAGAGGCCAATTAACAGAGGTGTGCAGTTTAAGAAAGAATGTCTTTACCAGAGTGATCTGAGATGAACCGGGCCACTGGAGGGCCCCCTAGAGTTTTTCCTCACAAAGAATGCTGAGCTCAGTGAAGGCTGGAGCTCAGAGAATTGGAGCAGGGACCAAGGGCAGAGGACTCACCAGATGAGGGTGGGGTCAGACTCTGGAGAAATCAATCTCTGGTGGTGCCTGGTCCATTCCCACTAGTACTGGAGAGTCCAGTGGCCAGGTTCCATATCGGATCCCACTTCTGACACCAGTTAATGTCAACCAGATGGAACTGGCCTCTAACCTGTGGATGGCTAGAGCCCAACAGAGCAGGCTAGAAGCAGAAGAGTCAGGAATCAAACAAAAGTTTAATTTCAAAGTGAGGGAAATATCTTGCAAGTAAGGAGGCAGATTGGACGTATGTGTCTGGGCCTTGCCACTAGTGGGGGACCCAAGGCAGTGTGGGGAGATCTCCATACTTGTACCAGTGGCTACACAGTGGGTTATAGCCCTGACAATGAAGGGTAACAGCAATAGTGAGATAAGTTTGATTCATAGTAGGGCTTCATGACCTGAACATGGGTACTTGTCTGAACTTGTCTGAGCTCAAAGGACACCTGGTGCTGGTGAAAGCAATAAAATAATTATATGAAACAATTCTGGGATTTTGCTGTGGCTGAGATCATCGAGAGGGTGAGTGCAAAGGATTGTTGTTATGCCAAGCTCCGGGCACAGCTTGCTTGCTGAGCCTTAGCTCTGGAGAACAGGGTGTCTTCTAATATTTTGACCCCTGCGACTTAAAAACTGACATTAAAAATGCGGCCATTGAGTGAGTAAATCTACTAGTTACTGAGTGCAAGAGAAACAACATTTTGATGTTGAGTGCTCTTGAGGATATGCCACTGATTAAGTGCTTTTATTAGCACCCTGAGAATAGAAAGTGCCTGTGGGCACTTACTGCCAGTAGAGAGATAAGTATAATGTATACTCTCTGGTAGTTTTGTAGCTCATTCAAGTTTCATAGCTAAGTGGAAAACAGAACAGAGAATTTATAGACATTTTATTGTTAATATATCTAAAGTTATTTGGCCTTCTAATTGGTCTCCCTACCTCATGTCTCTTCCCTTTCCAATTCATCCTCCACTCAGTTGTCAAAGTGATACTTCTAAATCAGGAGTCTGACTATGTCACTTTTTTGCTCAGTAAACTCTAGTGGCCTCTTATTACTTCTCCATTTAAATTCAAACTCCTCAGGCGTTTAAGTCTTTTACAATCTCTTTCTTACCTACCTTTCTAGCCTTATATGTTATTGCCCTCTACCTACTCTTTGGTCCCACCAAACCAGCCTTCTTGTTTTTCTTTACACATTAAATTCCCTTTCCTTTCTTCATACCTTTGCCTAGGTACAGCCTACTGATAGAACCGTGGTACAACTTTTTGTTATACCTTGTACCTGGAATATACTCCCTTTTTGCTACTACTTTTTAAAAGGGAGCAGTAAGAATTCCTAGTTTCTTTTAGAGTTCAGATCAGACACTGCTGTATAAGGTCTCTCCTGATCTAGCTGTCTGCATGTGCTTTTTCTCCCCTTCCAAAAATCATATTCAGTTATCCCTTCCATATCATGGGGGTTAGGGACACAGTGCCCCTGTGATCTGGAAAATCTGCGCAAAACTTTTTGGCCCTCTCTTTGTACCAGAGAAGAAGTTTGAATTTTTTCTTTTTCTTTTGTGGGGAATTACTATAAAGTACTATGTATATTTTATGCATTTTTGTGTTGTCTTTTTCTGTGTTATCTGCTGGCTTTCCCATGTTGTCTGTGGCTTTCACAAAACTCCCGAAAAAATCCTATTTAATTTCTTATGTCAACCTGTGATATATTGAAACCCCAATGGGAAACAGTCAAAATGTGGAAAGGATAACCATATGTATGTAATACAGCTATAACTATACTTACATATATCCATATATACACACATACATGTATACCTACATGTGTGTATATAGATATGGTTATGTATGTGTTGTTATGTGCATACAATACATATATGTATATCTGCTTACATGTATACACATATACACATATAGAGAATATATTTTTGTGGGTATATGTCACCTTCTATAGAATATAAACTCCTTGAGAGCAGAGACTGTTCATTTTTGCCTTTGAATCCCTCGTGCCTCACTCAATTCCTGGCACTTGATAGGTGCTTAACTAATATTTATCTGTCGCTTCATGTAGGGAAGCATCTATATTTCTCTGTACATAAGTGGCAGATTTTAAGAGATATTGTTTTTTGCTCTTTCAGTTGAGTATCTTAAATTGATTTTGAATCCAGGTCTTTGTGAATGAGTTGCTATAGCAAGAAAGATAAGGTGAATTACTTTTATGGGAAGGGCTGATACGAAATTGGACAGTTTTGCTGGAAGCATCACCTTTTCAAGAACATGTATTTCCTGTTCACTAAAGTCTAACCAGTTCCCTGGGCATTTGGAACGTTGTGGGAAAAAAAATCAGTTTTCTGTGACATTTGGTAAAATGAAGAAGGGCCTAATAATATGGTAATAAAACCATGATGCCAGTACCCTTGCTCAGCAACAATGAAAGCTATTGACTTTGGCTTTTCTTGTGATTTGGAGTATCAAAAGTTAGTTGCTGCTGCTATTCAGCAATCAGTCTGAATGTTCACTGAGACATTTAGAAGCAGATTTGATTCACTGCTATTGAAATGAACATAGTGATAATACCAATGTTTTTTTTTTTCTGAAATGGATCAAAAGAACTCAGGTATAACTTGATATTTTAAATTCATTTTATTATTGACTAGCAATTTAAGTAACAAGTTCACTGTGCCTTTGAGAAAATTAGCTTTCTGGTAGTTGAGTATTTGATAGCGTTATTGTGAATTATCTCCATTATTTTTTCCATTTTAACAATGTCACCCTTTGTGCTCACATTTTGTAGTTTGTATTTGTTACAATTGGTAAAAGATTATTATTAGAAATAGGAGTTCTGAATTCCCTTGGAACCAGTTTTTTGCTGTGTTTGGAGAAACAGGCAAAATATTTCTACTTAGTATTCACAAAATCTCATGCTCAGTAAACATGGATTTAGAATTTTGAGTATTTGTTAATGATCTAATGTATTCTTTGGGAAGCACCTTAAACTTTCTACTCTACAAAAATATAAAAATAAATTTGAGGAAAGAAAAGTAATACGATATAAATCTTGCAAGAAGCTAAGGAAAACAGTGATTGGCTTATTGTAAGACTTTGAACTCAGAAGACTGGGGTTTGAGTCCTGGCTTTTTCTCTCATTAGCTTTGTGACCTTAAGCAAGTTTCTTCACCTCCCTAAGTCCTAAGCATGGTACTACATAGCTGTGGATATCACTTGAGACGGTGTATGGCAAGAATTACATAAACATAGGGGCTGTTATTTGACATATGCCATCCATAACTGTTCTAGGTTAACAATATTTTATGTTGTTTATACTCATCTGCATACCATCTGTACAGCATAGTTATATAATTTCCTTGAGGGCAGAGGTTGTTTTGTTTATACCCCCAACACCTGGCACAGTGCCTATCACATAGAAGACATGTAATAAATGTTTGTTGAATTGAGCATATATATATATATATATATTTAGGAACAATATGTAACCTTTTTTTTTTAATTTGTGCCCTTTTTGTAGATTTGAAGTTGAATTTATTCTCTCAGAGCCCACCTGTGAATGGATAGGCAAACAGGGAAGAATTTCATTACCTCTTCTTTCTAAGTTTGTGAAAAGAAGCTTGGAAAACTCTAGAGTCCTCATCTGCATTTGTGGGCCAGCACCCTTCACAGAACAAGGAATAAGGTAAATATGAATAACAAAAAATGACCATAACAACCATTAAAAAATAAAATTAATCTTTATATCATACAGTTGTAATTAAGAGGTAGCTACATAGCTTAGTGCAGGGTGTCAACTCAAATAGAAACATGAGGTGGGGTGATGAAGGCACTAAACTATACATAAGGTTCCCTGTGGGTGTATATTGACTTAGAAAACCACATATTAATATTTTATTCTGTTATATTTTTATTGTGTTAAATATTTCCCAATTACATTTTAAGCTGGTTTGGGCCACATGTAGGAGTGTTGTAGGCCATGTGTTTGATACCTCTGGGCCTGGAGTCAGGGAGACCTGAATTTGAATCCTTCCTTGGATATTTACGAGATGTATGACCTTGGGCAAGTCACTTAACCTCTCTGAGCCTCAATCTCGTTTGTAAAATGGGGACAATAATGGCATCAGTCTCACAAAACTGGGAGAATTAAATGAGAATTATCTCATTTTATATATATTAATATGTAAAGAGCCTTGTGAACCTTTACAAGTTATATAAATGTTAGCTAGTGTTATTATTAGTTGCAGAGTTGGGAGCAGAAAGAATATGTTATTCACTATGAAAAGAAGAGATGGCCAGCTCCCAGTTATTTAAGCTGCTGAAAAGACAGAGGAATGTGGATGAATTCAAAAACCCCATTTTAGACATTTAGTTTTAGCCTCTTACTACACTTTTTAACAGAAATGTCAAGGAAAACTTAAGGCTGACTTGTGGTTTAATTCTTTCCTCTTTGCTTCACTGTCAAGTGGTGCAAATACCAATAAACAATAAAGTGATTGAAAGCCAAGCATTAGGAGGAAAAGGATGAGAAAAAGCATTAATTTCCCCACACACACAGAAATAATCAATACGTGAGTAATCAAGAATTGATAGTAGTGGACAGCATAAAAGACTATTTGAAAATGACTGTTGTCTGATTCCATTTTATAATAATGCTTGAAAATATTCAGACAAACAGATCCATCATTCAAAATTTATGAATAGGGGCAGCGAGGTTTCTCAGTGGATAGAGCTTCTGTCTGGCCTTGGAATCAGGAGGACTTGAGTTCACATCTGGCCTCAGACCAAACACTTCACACTTACTAGCTGTGTGACCCTGGGCAAGTCACTTAACCCCAATTGCCTAAATATAATTTAAAAAAAAAGACGGAAACTACTAGGTGAAAGACCTTTTTCTAATTCTTGTCACTAAATTTCATTTCCTTTTCAGTCTAAAAAAAGTAAATAAATTTCTGCATATAGAGACTTGGAGAAAAATTTTCATTTCATTTTTGGTTTAACTAATTTTAGAATATTCCCTCTTGAATTGACGTTATTTGAAAATAGGTAATCTTTTTCCTTCAAATGGATGTTATATTCTATGCTTTTTCAAATCCATGCTACAACTTTTAATCTGCAGTGAAGAGTAATTAATGATGTTCTTAGAATAAGTTATTGGGAAGAATGCATCTTTGCAGGCATTAGACTAATTGCACTGCTAATGATATGGTATAGGAGTTCTTAAGATATGGTACATGGACCCCTTTGAATAGATTTCAAGAGATCTATGATCTTAAATGGGAAGAACATTACATTTTTATTTTCACTAACCTGAGATTTGGTGTTTTCTTCAATTATTAAGTAAAAACAAATATTGTCCTGAGAAGTCCATAGACTTCATGAGACTGCCATATGGGTCCATGACATAAAAAATGTTGAAAAATCCTCTGTGGTGATAACAAGATTAGGTTTAGCAGTAGAAAAGACTCACTTTCAAACCCTGCTTTTGACACATACTAGTCTTCTCAGTCACTTAACCTCTGTGTGCCTCAGAAAACCTTCTAAAACATTGTCTTGTAAGTCATGTGGGTTGTGATTTACCCTAGAGGAAGGAGTTGCCATCCCAGGAATTTCCTGTGCTGACTAAATCATATGGTTGTTTATACACACGTGTACATATTATATATGTTTTGAACTGAATATATTGTATACAATATGTGGGAATGTACAAATTACATTTGTGTTTATAGTATTGTTAATAATGGTCATTAGTTTAAGTAATTTCAAACATTGCATTGTCAAAAGTAATTTCTATTAGGCCTTAGAATGTCATCTTGAAGCAGGTTTGCTTTTTTGATGTTAGTTTGTTTAGACTCATATTAAAACAGATTTGCATTTCCTTAGCTGAGCAGTGAGGAACTGAGGCATCTAGAGGTGTGATGGATGATAGCAAGAAACCAGCCCAGGATTTTGAATTTGTTACAGATAATTAATCCTCACAGTTACACCCAGGACTTAGTTGTTTGTATTTCAATTGCAGCAGTTATTTAAACCTCTCTGTATTACATTATACACATAAAAAGTCAAAGTGAAAGGACAAAGGAATAATCTATGGAAGAAATGACCAAGAAATGGGGGCAACTTATTACTTCTCATAATTCGGACATGTGAGAAGAAAAGCTAAACGTGGAGGAGGAGTTAGGATGAGTGAAGATATCATGAACCTCACTCATGATAATATTTGTAAAATGCTTAGCACAGTGCTTGGCACGTACTAGCTGCTTGTTTCCTTCCTTCGCTGTCATTGGAACCAGGCAAAGGAGCACTGAAACACACACACACACACACACACACACACACACACACACACAATTTGATGTAGAAATATATTAAATCCAGCAGGAAAACAGGTGGGGACAAGGAGAGATGGGTGTAAGAAGGAGGGTAGCATCCAGGAGGGAATGAATAGTCACAAGTAAGACAAACTTTGCAGAAGAAACATTTATTACGTTTTATAGATGAAACTTAGAGAACCCTAGAGATTTAGCTAAAAGAATTACTTGACACAGTTAATATCTTATTATTATATATCTACAAAAATTGTCATTCTTTTTGTATGCTGCCACCATAACCCAGCAGGAGGAGCTAAGAAAAAGAATTCCATTCAAAATATCTACACACCTTTCTAGCCCAGCTCCATCTATGCTATAACAGCTGCTGAAATATTGATACCCAAGATGCCGTTTATGAATTCCTTTTTCAAGGGGGAATAATAGTAGTTAAAAAAAGTTGTCCACATTCCAATATACCCTGACCTGGTAGGCAACAATGTACCCAATTTGCATGTCATGAAGCCCATGCAGTTTGCACGGAGACATTTCAGCTGGTACCTTACCAATGAGGGTATTCAGTCCCTCAAGGATTACCTTTATCCATTCATTTAGATTGTACCTGCCTTGCTTTTCAGAAGTCACTGGAGATAGACAGACCACAGCCCAAAGGTCTCGAGAGTGAGTGGTTTGCACAACTTATGAAGCTGACAGAGAACCATGCAGATAAAGTGTCACTTCCCCTGACAAGAAGGCTGAGGCTGGTGCTGGATTAGCAACCAAATTCCATTATAGATGTGGATTTGGTAGTGGATGTGATCAGCCTCCCTAATAAAAGAAATTTGTTTCATATTGAATAAAATTTAGGGAGAAAAACAACTGCAAAATATGTAAAATATCTGGGTGCCCAGCTACTATGCCACATACAGGAATTATATAAATACAACTATAAAGCATTCTTTTTAAAATAAAAGAAAGACTTAAAGAATTGATGAGAGATTAATTTCTTATTTTTGGGCTGTGCCAGTATAATAAGGATGACAGTCCTACTGAAATTTATTTATAGATTCATTGCCATTGCAATTAAACTCCCAGAGTTAATTTTATAGAACTAGATAAAATAATAACAAAATTCTTATAGGTGAACATAAGGTCAAGATCAAAGGAAATAAATAATAGGAAGGAAGGGGCATTGCAGTACCAGATCTCTGTGTTCCACAAAGTAATAATCATCGAAACACTTTGGTCCTGGTTTAAAGCAAATAGAAAAGTTGATCAGTAGATCCGTTTGTTAGGCAAGACCCTGAGACAATTGAACACAGCAGCATATTGTTTGATAAATGCAGGGAAGGCACTGATTACTGAATTAAGACATCCATTTTCAACAAAAAAATTGTTAGGAAAATTGGAAAGCAATATGGCAGAAATCAGATTTTGATTACATCTCCTACTATACGCTGCAGGAAGCTCAAAATGGATATGTGACCTAGATATTAAAGGTCATATCATAAACAAATTAGAAGAGAAGAGAAAGACATAACTTTGACAGCAGTTGGGAAGGAATTAGGATGGAAAAGAATACTGACTCTGGAGTCAGGGAACGTAGATTTAAAACCTGCTTCTGAAGTGTGTTACCTGTATGACCTTGTACAAGTCATATAACCTCCTTAATATGAGTTTACTTTTCTGAAAATGAGGGGTTTTGTTTAAATAGTCTATCAGATCTCTTCTAGATCATGTTCTGTGATCCTGTGAGTAAATAAAAGGCAATTCTGATGATATAAAATTGAAATTGAATAGTTAAAAGGGAAGCAGTTAACTGTTTATTGCAAAGTTTATTGCAAACTTCTCTGAAAAAGATTTGGTATCCAAGGTATTTAGGGAATTTGTAGAAACATATGAAAACAATCACTGCTACCTAATAGATAAATGTCAAAGAATATGAACTGGTGATTTTCAAAAGAAAAAAGTGAAGGTATTAATAACCACACCAAAAAATGCTCCCCATCAGTAATAGTAAGAGAAATGCAAATTAAAGCGACTCTTAGTTTCATACCCATCAAGCCTGGCAAAAAAAACTAAAAAGAAAAATGGCAATTGTTGGAGAGCCTATGGTCATAATAATGCCCTGTTAGTGGAGTTTTGGATTGTTCTGGCCATTCTGGAAAGCAGTTTAGAATTATACCCAAGTAGTTACTAAACTGTACATACCCTTTGACCTCACGATTCTCCAAATAGGCCAAAAGAAAGTGAAATAACTTGCCAAAGTGTTCGAAAAATTTAATAGCAGTACTTTTTTTTGTAGCTACCACACCCCATATATGTTCTTTTCCCTATTAGAAGTAAACTCTTTGAGGGGTCTAAGGACAATCTTGTTCTTTGCATTTGCATCCTCATTGCTTCGCAGTTTCTGACCCATAGTAAATGCTTAATAAATCTTTTTCATTCACAGAAATGGAAACAAAGTGCTTGTGTAACTTTTAACAGTTGTTAACAGTTCCCTGTTAATCCCTTAACAAATTATAGTATATAAATACAATAAAATAGTTTGCACCATAAGAAATGGTAAAAAGGGATGGATTCAGAGAAACATTTTGAAAGACAAGTTGCATCTGATTAGTGTCATGACCAGGCACAACTTCAGAAAACTGGTGATGTAGCATCCAGTTCCTTCTCTATTCGTGCACAGCCACCAGCTTATTGCAGGGCCTCCAGCATCTCTTGCCCAGATTACTGTAATGACCTTAATTCATCTCACTGCCTTAAGTCATGTCCCAGTCCATCCTATCCTCCATGCAGAGTGACTTCTGAAATACAAATCTGACCGTATCACTTCCTTATACAGTCAACTCCAGTGGCTCCCTATTTCCACTAGAATAAAATAGAACCTCCTCTCTTTAGCATTTTTGTTGTTGTTGTTCAGTTATGTCTGACTCTCTGTTACCCCATTTGAGAGAGATACTGGCAGAGATATTGGAGTGATTTGCCATTTCCTTCTCCAGCTTATTTTACAGATAAGGAAACTGAGGCAGATAGCATTAAGTGACTTGCCCAAGGTCACACAGCTAGTCTGAGGCCAGATTTGCACTTAGGTCTTCCTGATTCCAGGCCCAGCACTCTATCTACTGGGCCACCTAACTGCCCCTTCTTTAGCTTTTAAAACTCTTCAAAACGTGGCCCCAACCAACCTGACTCTCCAGCCTAATTGTGCATTACTTCCCCTCCCACACAGATCCAGCCAGACTGGTCTTCTGTGTGTCCCTCTCATGTTGCATTCTCTCTCATTTTAGAGCCTCTGTATTGACTGTCTCCTCTGAAATTCATTCCTTCCTCTCCTCTTCCTCCTATAACCCCTTTCTTCTTTCAGGAAAGCTCAAAAGCGTTATCTTATACCTAAAATTTTCCCTGAACCTTCACACTTCCTATCTTGTATTTAATTATACTTTTTTGTGTTTATTCTCTTTGTATTTATTCCACATAGACTTATTTATGTACTTGTCTCACTCTGTTAGAATGAAAATCCTTTGCAAATAGGTTTTGTTTTATTCTTTGTATTTGTATCCCCAGGACCTGGCTGAATGCCTGGCATGTAGTAGGTACTTTATAAGTACTTATTGGTTGATTTTATTGTTCTTGGCATATAGACAATGGAACTGGAATTGAAAACTAAGATGTATGATTTCAGACATAGCCAATGTGAGAATCTGATTTGCTAGACTATAGTTGTTGCTAGGGAGGGATTTTTTTAGGGATGGGAGTGGGGGTGTTCAGGAGGAAGAATTGTTAAGAGAGTGAAGGAGAGGTATTGATACTAATGCAAAAAAAATAAAGAAAAAGAAAAGGACATTAATGAAACATTAAAAATACTCAGAAGAGAGCCAAAGGAAATTCAAAAGAGGACACAGATAAGTAGGGGAGTGTTAGAAATTATTGTATATCTTAAAATAAAAATAAGCTGTACATTTTTCAAAAGGCAGGTAGTTGGCTGCAGTTTAAGAAGTTTTTTTCCTACATTTGCTATGGTTGTAGAGATAACCTTAATATTGGTGGTGGGGAGAAGGGCGTTTGGGTCAGCTAGATAGTGCAGTGGATGGAGCACCAGACCTAAAGCCAGAAGGACTCATCTTCGTGAGTTCAAATCTAGCCTCGGACATTAACTAGCTGTGTGACCCTGGGCAAGTCAGTTAACTCTGCCTCAGTTTCCTCATCTGTAAAATGACCTGAAGAAGGAAATGGCAAACCACTCCAGTATCCTTGCCAAGAAAACCCCAGTGAGGTCACAAAGAGTTGGACATAACTGAAGTGAAGGAAAAGCAGACATTTTTAAGAGTACTCTTAGGAAATATTTTAGACAACCTTTTTTTCTACTTGGCTTTAGCATGCTATGCATATTGAATATATATTTTATAGAGTGGGTAGTCATTTCTGAAATGTATTTGTTATTTTCCTCTTAAAGCAATTTAAAGATAGTTTTAAAAAGATTTTGTCCAGGTTAAGTGGCTTAGCCAGACTGAATCTCTTAGTGGCATGATGTTCTGGTATTATTGACAGACTATTAACTTTACCTTTTCCTTTCTCCTTTCTGATGATCCTAAAGAAACATACATTTTGGTTTTCTCTTTCAGATTGCTGAAGGATCTTAACTTTTCCCAAGAAGAGGTCCATAGTTTTACTGCATAGTGAAGAGCTCCTGCAGGATCTTGCCAAATTTATGTAGCTGTTTCTGAGTGCGTGGATTTTTTTTTAAAGGAAACTTTTTTTTATACACATAATAGAAGGTGCCTACAAGGCCAATCTTAGGGTTTCTTCAGTGACATGCAGCCGTCTCTTCAGTAACAACATTTGTCAGACTTTGTCTTGGCATCTTGACCGATGTTACTACTGCTGTTCGCTTTTCATCTGGGTAGTTCATTCATGGAGACAGTATTTATGGCTCTAGATGAAAAATGTTACAGAATCACTTTTAAACGATTCACTGTTCTACTGTAAGGCCCTATTATAAGTATTTTATGATTCATTATGTGGTAAATGGTCACTTTGATCACATTTCTATGCTGTAAAATGTCTTCTTAGCAATACAGTCTGAATTTTACATTGCACTGTTAACTCAGGAAATGATCACTTAGGTTCTTGTTATTAGTATTAAACTATGGAATGTTATGATTTATTAAATGACCCAAACAAGTTTTTTTATGTATATGACATTGATACAAAGTAGGATAAAATTATATGTAAGTATTTTTTTAATCCTTGTTGGAAATGTGATGAATGTAGCAAGGGTGGACCTCTAGCTCTAAAATCCATTGTCCCTCTGTGTATAACTTTAGAGCTGGAAGGGACCTTACAAGTCATTAGATCCAACCATTTCATTTATAGATGAGGAAACTGAGACACAGAGAAGTTAGAAGTAAATCATTCACCCAAGGTCACAAAGATAGTTAGTATAGGGCAGCTGGGTCTTAGACCGTAGGTATCCCAACCCCGAGTTGAAAGTTGTAGCATCTAAGAAGAATTCAGGGAGAGGGAGCTGTTTAGAATTTTGGATAAACCTTTGTGGAAATGCTTGGATACATGAGAAAATAACCCAAGATAAATGATAGTGAAAGAGGCAGGTGTCACTTCTTTAACCAAAATAAAAATAAAAATCTGGGCACATCAGTGCAGAGAATGTGACTTTAATCAGCCAGAAGAAAGCATTTGAAAGGTTGTTCCATTGGGGGAGTAGGGAGGGAAGGGAGAATGCAGACTAGGAGTGAGTTAAGTTCTAATACTTTATTTTGAGACGGTTGGCTGTCTGATTTTGTAAGGAACATTGTGTAACTACTTTGTTCTTTGCTTGTCATTCTTCCCTTACCTCACAGTGGGGAAATTTCCTTAGTGGGGGTGTGAACAGTTTATTCTTTCTCCTCACCAGTATTAAAGACCTTCACCTGCCTCCATGGAGGCGTGCAGAAAAGGGCTAGCAAGATAGTTAAAATGAAGTAAGTGCACATGGATGGGTGATTTTATTGAATGGTGAGTAGTGAGGTCAAATAGCTGAAGTGACTTGGATTTTTTTCAGTTTCGCTTAGTATAATATCATCATGTTGGATATTGTTTTCATAGAGGTAAGGTAAAGTCTAACTTTATTTTACAAAATTTTGTAATTAGATAACCGATCTTGTGGCCAGGAACCATACCTCATCCTCCCAATCCCAATTGAAAAACCCTAAATTGAGGAGGGATGGAAATGAATGAGATTCTGAGTTCTGTTACTGAACTTGCCTCTAACTAGCTATATGAAATGTGACTTACACTTCTTTGAACCTTATTTTTCCTCATCTATAAAATCAGTTTATTTTTAAGGCCTCTTCTAGCTCTAAACTTTTAAGTTCAAATTTTCTGAAGCACTTAAAAGTGTTCTGCAGTTCAGAATGTCCAGAAAAGTCTTCCTCTACCTCTTTGTACCCCTCTGACTAAACTGATTTCCCTTAATTAAGCACCAGCATTAAAAGAAATAGTTGCTTATTCATTTGTGTTTTCTCTGTATTAGGACTGGAGCATTGGAATTTTCTTCTGGTTTTCATCCTAAATGTGTATTTCATCTACATTATGGGATTATGTGGGCTAGCCTTGGACTTCACCACCTCATTCTTGATTTTTGGGCAACTTGTGACATTAACATCCCATCCTACATATCCCTTGGCTTCCATGATACTGGTCTCTCCTAGTTCTCCTGTCTGTCTGCTCCTTCTCAGACTCCTTTGAGGCCCTTCTTCCCAGGCCCAAAGTATGGGTGTCCTTGATGGTTCTATCCATCTAACCTCTTGTCTATATATTCCCTCCTTTGGTTGTCTCATGTGCTCCTGTAGCCCCAAAACTTCTTCATAGATGACTCACAAATCCCAATCCCTCCTCTGCTGGACATCACCTGGCTTTCTCACAGACAGTGTAAATGTCGTATGTCAGAAAGTGAACTGAGAGGCAGTTGGGTCACACAGCGGATTGTGCGCTGGGCCTGGAGTCAGGAAAATATGAGTTTGTATTTCGCCTTCGGAAACTTCCCAGCTAGGTGACCATGGGCAAGTCACTTAACCTCTGTCTGCCTCACTTTCCTCAGCTGTAAAATGGGGATAATAATAGCACCTACCCACCAACCTTCCGAGGTTGTTACTCCCTCCCCATCCTAAACCCAGCCACATTTAACTGATATATTTCTGTTGGTGGCACCATCATCCCCATAGTCACCAAAGTGTGAAAACTAGGAGACGTTTTCCACCCTTTTAGGTCATTCCTCCCACATCCATTCAGTTACCAAATCCTAATGATTGCACCATGCACTATGTTCCATAGATTTTTTATCAGCCTCACACTGCCACTGATCTAGCTCAGGTCTTCATCATCCCTTTTCTATACTGTTAAGAGCTCCCTGCCGCTAGTATCTCTCCCTCCAACGCATCCTACGTACAGGTGCCCAGATATCCTTAGTATATAGTTCTTAGAACATGTCACATCACAAATGTGTCAAGGATCTAGATTTAATTGGTGGAGGGAGTTCTTTCACAGCCCATGTTATAACTTAGTTGCCTGGAGCTCAGAGAGATTGGTTGACTTGCCCATGGCTAGTAAGGGTCAGAGGCAAGATTTGAACCAGGACTTTGTGCCTCTAATTCCTAACCTCTGTTCCGTGCCATATCTCAACCATGTCATTCCATTTCTCAAAAACCTTAAGTGTCTCCCTGTTTCCTTCACAGTGAAGTACAAAGCTTCAAGCCTGGCTTTTAAGGGTCTTACTCTGTCTTCAGCATATCTTTCCAGACTTATGTCACTCTCCCTTTATGCAATCTCTATTCCAGATGAACTAGGTATTCCCTGATATAATCCTAGATACTCCCTGACCTTTTCATACACTCATGCACATTCTCTCATCTCTGCATTCATACTGATTGTTCCCTATTCCCAAGACACATTGCCTCCTTGATTCTGACTCTTGAAATTGTTCTCTTCCTTCAGGGTGAATGGTCCCAGGTACCAACTCTTCCATGAAACCTTCCTAGAGCCTTCCAGTTAGAAAGGATCCCTCCCTTCTCAGATTTTCCTATAAAGTTTCCTTTTCCCTCATTACTTTTTGACTTGTTACATACTTATGTACAGATCACTCCCTCATTAGATTGTGAACCCCATGAGGGCAGGAATTATGTTGGGGGTTTTTTCCCCCAATCTTTGTATCGGCACTCAGCACAGTGCCTGGCACATAGTAGGTGCTTAATAAATGTTGGCTGAAGTGAATTTGAATTTAGACATTATTCTCCCGACCCCCAAACCCCCGCACGTAAACTTTAGGACGTAACTCTTTGTGGAACTTCACACCATTTGGAAAAGTAAGAAAAAAGGATATTTCCAGAGGACAATGGAAATCTGTTTTATGTTAAAAAAAAAAAGATAAATCTTGAAGTTCCATGGGTTTTGCTGAAATATGTTTCTTTAGTAATTTTAATCAGGTTAAAGAGAGGAAAATGCCTAATTTTGAGGAGGATTCATTTTCACAAATCAAAAAATTGCATTGGTCACAGATTAGATCGCCACATAAAATACTATTAGAGAAACATCACAGAGTATAGTGTGTATGTATTTTATTTTATGTATTGAAAAACATTCTGAGAATGGGTCCATAATTATCACCCAACTGCCAAAGGCATTCATGACAAGAATGTTTAAGAATCTCTTGTTTAAGTACTGCCTTTGATGCATTCAAGCTGTGTAATCATGGACAAGTAATTTACCTTTCAGTGCTCCAGCATCTTTAAGATTCTAAATTCTAAGTTACTGGTGGGAAATTCTGCTCAGGAATTCTTTACAGTAATGAAATCAGAGGTCTGGGGAGAAAAAAAGGGATCTGGTTATTGAAAATTCAAATGAAGTGTATGGATGCTTCAGGATCATTCTGCATTGGAGAAGGGCTGGAGAGATCCCACACAATAAGGTGATATCCTGTTAGGTAAAATCCCCTAAAACTGTCAACTACAATTCTAGAATGGCAAACGTTGCCCTATTAATGAGTGCCTAAAGAGCATCTCTTGTGCAAAACAGTTTACCCAGCAAAGTCCTCCAGAGAAACCAGAGGTAGCCAAATTTTGCTGTGAATCCTCAAACCCTGTATTTCATGTGATAGCTCCCAAGTAACAGATCACCCAAAAGCGACATGGATATGTTCAGTACCTTTAACTTTCATTCAAAAATCAATGGTTTGTCCCCATTGTTAAATTGCTCCTCTCTGAGTTCTCGTCTGTCTATATCTTTCTGGTAGGTGGATATGAATTTCATAAATTTATTTATTTTTAGTTCCAAATTTCTCACCCCTCCCCCCACCCCAAGAGGGCATGCATTCTGAATACCCCTTCCCCTGGTCTGCCTTCTCTTCTGTCTCTCCCCCCTCCCTTCTCTTATCCCCTTCCCCTTCTATTTTCCTCTAGAGCAGGATAGAGTTCTGTACCCCGTTTCCTGTATTTCTTATTTCCCAGTTGCATGTGGAAACAGTGGATATGAATTTCAGCAACTTACTAAAACAGGTCTATACAATAGAGCAAGTGAGGAGTCCTCCCTGGTTTCTTAATCAAGTTGTTGATCTCAGCACTGTGAAGTACACAATATGTCTGATCCAGATCATTTTAATAGACTAATTAGAAAACATTCACAGAGCAAGGAAATGAACCCTTTGGAAGACTCATCTCCTGCTGGAGCCCAATGAATGTGCAAATCTCGATTGGGTTGCCAATGCAAATGAGGCTTTTAGAAACTTGTTCTTGGTGGTGGATTTCTACTCCCACCCTCTCACTGTTCTTCTGTGATTGTTTGTTTACCCATGCTTTAGTTACTCAGTTTTATTTCTTGGCATGAATACCTCAGAAGAGACTGCCAGTCAACAGAGGTTCACATGAGACTGCTCTACAAATTCAATTGGAGTCTTTTTTTTTTAAATGCAGTTGTTGACTCTTTACATTATTTTTTTTTAACAAGCTTTTGCCAGTATTGCTTTAAAGCATTGTGTTTACCTGACTGAGTAGATAGAGCTCAGGTAGGGTGTTGTTTGCTTTCTTGGGATTTATTTAATTCCTTAAGCCCATGGCTGTACTTTCCAGTTGACAAATGAAAGCATTCTACCAGAAAACTTTTATGAGAGAGAAGATGGACTGAAGATTGGGACTGGGGAAGGGAGAGCAAGAAAGAAAGAGAATGACAGGCGCAGACAATGAAGCAATGTTTTTATTACAAAATGCCAGGGTAATTTAAAAAAATTATGAGGTGCTTTAAACTACCTGATCCTAAAATGATTTATACAATTTACATAAATATGTAAATAAAAATTACATAATTTTTTCATTTTGTAGCATTTCAAAGATTGCAGAGCTAAAAAGTATTTAAATTTTTTTTATTTTAACATTTTTTTAAAAAATTGAGTTCTTATGTGCAAAGGACCATAAAACTGTGCGTACCCTTTGATACAGCAGTACCACTATTGGGTCTGTATCCCAAAGACATCATGAAAAAGAGGAAAAGGAACCACATGTGCTTTTTCGTGGTGGCAAAAAGTTAGAAATTGAGGGGATTCCCATAAATTGGGCAATGGCTGTCCCCAAATGGTAAATGGTGAAAGGATATGAACAGACATTTCTCAGATGAAGAAATTAAAGCCATATGAAAAAATGCTCTAAATCATTATTGATTAGAGAAATGCAAATCAAAACAACCCTGAGGTACCACATCACACCTATCAGATTGGCCAACATGACAAAACAGGAAAATGATAAATGTTGGAGAAGATGTGGGAAAATTGGAACACTAATCCAATTGTTGGTGGAGTTGTGAAATGATTCAACTATTTTGGAGAACAATTTGGAACTATGCCCAAAGGGCTATAAGACTGTGCATACCCTTTGACCCGGCAATAGCACTTCTAGGGCTATATCCCAAAGAGATCATACAAATGGGAAAAGGAGCTACATGTACAAAAATATTCATAGCAGCTCTTTTTGTGGTGGCAAAGAATTGGAAATTGAGAGGATGCCCATCAATTGGGGAATGGCTGAGCAAGTTGTGGTATATGGATGTAATGGAATGCTATTGTTCTGTAAGAAATGATGAGCAGGTGGTTTTCAAAAAACCTGGAAAGAGTTACATGAACTGATAGTGAAGTGAGCAGAACCAGGAGAACACTGTACACAGCAACACTGTGTGATGATTAACTATGATAGACTTAGCTCTTCCAAGACAATTCCAAAAGATTCGTAATGGAAAATACCACATCCAAAGAAAGAACGATGGAGTTTCAATGCAGATTGAAGCGTACTATTTTCACTTTTTTGTTGTTTTTTGTTTTTTCTTTCTCTTTCTCTTTTTCTGATTCTTCTTTCACAACATGACTAATGTGGATGATTATACATGTATAACCTATATCAGATTATTTGCTGTCTTAGGGAGGGAAGAAAGGGAGAGATAAAAATTTGGAACCCGAAATTTTACAAAAGTTAATAT